ACTATCTGCTGGGGCTTTGGGGGAAAATAAATAAATAAATAAATAAAATTATAGAGCATATACAGCCTCCTAGAGGACACTGCCCCAGCCCTAAAAGGGACTGCCACCTGGCTGGCACTGTAACTGAGTCTTCCAAAGGTCATCCCACCATTCTATCAAGCCAGCTACTTTAGGGTGATGGGAAACATTGTGAGACCAGTGAATTCCGTAAGTGTGAGCTCATTGCAGCACTTCATTTGCTGGCAGATAACACGTTCTGTAAATCCACAGATGGTAGTTTTGGCAAAAACACTGCATGCAGGGAAGACAAATCCATATCCAGAGTAAGTGTCTATTCCAGTAAGAATAAAGTGCTGCCTCTTCCAAGATGGAAGTGGTCCAATGTAATCAACCTGCCACTAGGTAGATAGCTCATAATGGTGCCATATTTGGGATGCAGCATTGGTCTGCTGCTAGCAGATGGGGCACTCAGCAGTGGCTGTAGCTAGGTCAGTCTTGGTGAGTGGAAGTTCATGTTGCTGAGCCCATGCCAACCCTCCACCCCCGCTATCATCTTAGTCCCCACTACACCCTATTGTCTCCTGGACTCCCAGGCCCCCTCCAATCTGAGTGAGACCTGCCAAATATCTTTGCTATTGAAATGTTTATTTTACCCTTATGTGAAAATTAAGGGGAAAGTGAGTTATTTTTTACATCCATGTCTCTACCAAATGTTTTCTTACACCCTGTCTGCCTGGTCCCTAGGATGTTTGAGTTTGCAACCCTGCTCTACCAGTTCACTCTGGTTGATTTCACAGCTTCAACCACCAGCTATACACAAAGAACACAGTAATCACTATAAGATGAGACCTCTCTAAAGAGTTTCATCCCTTATCTCAACAACATCTGGGTTTATCTCAGATACATCAATCTAAAAACACCTGAAATTTAATTATCTTTTCCTCCAAAATTATTTCTGTTTGTAATTCAAACTTGAGTCTATCCACTCAGAGACTCTAGCCAGAAAAAGTCTCCTAGAGAGCCCATTCTTCTTGCTACATACATCAAATTAGTTGGCAAGCCCTGTCAATTGTATCTGTTAATGTAGTTCATGTTCCTTCACTCCCTCTCCTCTCTGCAGAGCTCCCACTTTCATGGAGACTCTCATAACTTCTCTTCATGTCCAGAGTCAGCAAACTTTGTCTACAAAGGGCCAAGCAGTAAATATTTTAGGATTTGCAAGCCATATGGTCTCTGTGACAACTGCTACAACTCTGCTGCTGTGGCGTGAAAGCAGCCCTAGACAACACAGACGTGAAAGAGTGTGCCTACGGTTCTGCCGGCGACTAGGGGCCTGAGAAACTCACAGGCGGGTTTGGAAGCAGTTAACTGTTCTTCCACGTTGTTTCTTTTCCTTTTGTGTGTTAAGGAGATGTAACCACCAGCCATCCCGGAACTGACCAAGCCTCACCTCGACAGCTAAACCCATGACCTTTGCCTTATCTCTAATGCAAAGATCTCTCCAGGAGCAGCTTAGGCCTCATTGTGTGGAAGCATATTCTCCAACTGAGCCTGTGCAAGCGAATACCCGCCTCCCCCTTTTGAATATTCATTTCCCAACCAAATAAAATTTCCTGCTTTCCTTTGTTCAGGACACCATGACTTTGGAAATGATTCCTCGTGGCCTCCTATTTGCTGCAAATACACTTTACTTTGTGAGACAACTTCCACTGGTGTAGAGTCTTATTTAACACACCAGGAGATGAGCCCACTTGGTTCGGTATCAGTTCCAACAAAACTTTATTTAAGGACACTGAAATTTGAGTTTCATGTACTTACACAAGTCACAAGATATTAATCTTTTGATTTTGGTCTGCAACCGTTTGAAAATGTAAAAATCATTCTTAGTTCACGGGCCATATGAAACAGGTAGCCGGACAGTTTGCCAACTCCTGCTCTGAATTATTGCACTTGTCTTTTAATGGGTCCTACTCCATCCTCTTCCTCAGTTCCTCTTTAGGTGTTCTCATAAGACTGATTATATCATTCCCACTTAAAAACCCTTCAGTGGCTCCACTCACTTTAGCATAAAATCCAAACTCTTTAGCATGACATATACCTGTAAATTCTGGGTCCTATCTACTAGTTTCAGCATCATCTCTACCCATACCTGCACCAAACTATACA